GTCTGCTGGCACAAATGATTTACAGGACACCCATTGGCAGCACTCCTTTTAAAACGCGACACTTGAAATTTTCACTTGGTCACAGCCGGCAAACAGCTTCCTGGTATTTAGCAGGTTTAGATAATACCCTTCCAACCTCTTTGAGGCTTTTGGAGTCTGGGCCTGAGGTTTGAAATCATTTCTGACCCAGTCTGGACCTTCTGGAACACCTGGACTTCATTTGGGTCTGAGGAGTACTTGGAAGGGGGGGGTGGGCAAGTGGGTGGGTAAGGGGTTGGCTTATATATAATTATTTTCAAGATAATAGTACAGAATAGGTACAGATTAAAAGATGCGGTCTGTCCTCCATTTTCCAGCTTCTTTTTGTAAGTGTCAAGCCCATTTATGGATGCTTGACTCTGCTCCTGGAGGAGAAACATTTCAAGGCTTTGCTGGGAAGCTGGGAAGGTGTGGCCCGAGATGGAAAGCCTCCATCTGCTGGCTGGCTGCACAGGGGCTAGAGTGACCCTGCTCTGACCCCTTAGGGCTCGGGAAGAGCCTCTTTCCAGCCTGCAGAGCAAGGAGGCTTTGGCAAGAAGCATCCTCACAGGGGCTATCCAGTGGCCATCTCTGCGACAATCAGACGAGTCACTTTGTTGGTTCCCTTTGAGGGCCCTGCCAGGACAAGCAGAGGGCACCCAGACTAGAGCTCTATAGTGGCCATCCCTCCATGACCCATTACAGTTGGATTTTATCTGGACTTTGGATGTAGCTTGCACCGCTTTTTTGAGCTTTCCTGCACTGCCTGCAGCTGTCTTGCACCCAGAATGCCAGCAGTGCAGCTGGGGGTGGGTCCCCTGATCCCTCATATACTTTCGAAGGAAGGAGGTGAAGAGAGGCAGAGCCACTGGCTCTGAGGGCCCGAGATGAGATGCAAGGCTGTAGCACCCAGTCTCAGTTACGGTCGGTCCACCTGTTCCTCAGGTTCTGCAGATCCCACCAACCCTGAGTGCAGAATTTTTGAAAAAAGAAAAATCAGTACGTATTCCCTGTCATTACTGTCCAAACAATACCATGCTCACACTGTATTCAGTGTTAAAGTTATCTAGACAGGGAGGTATGAGTAAGTCATATACAAACACTAAGGCACTCGCATCCACGGAGTCTGGACCCCATTCCCACTGTCACCAAGGACAGCCTTCCTCTGTTTGACCATGGACACCAGAGGTCTGCAAACACCACTTGAAGTGCTGCCAGTTGCCAGTGTTAAGCAGTGCACAATGCTACAAAGTGGAAAATTCTCCAACACTGACTTCTACCGCCAAAGATATTTGCTTTCAATAAGTGACAAGTTCAGTCCGTTTGGTTTAAATGCCCTGAGCTTTTTTCCAGATACCAGACCACTCAAGTGCGTGGAAGATGAAGTAATTGGTAGAATTATCCATCTTTCTTTGTCTTCCACGTGACCACTTCGCACAAGTGAAGGGACTATGCCAACAATAGCACAGCCTGTGTCACGCTTGTTACTGATATGACTGCCAATTAGTTCTGACATGGGAGCTTGGCGGGTTACCCAAAACCTGGTATTTTGTCACCTCAGGGGGTGAGCACTTGGTCATTTCGATGACATTTCCTACTAGTCCATCAATCTCCCTTCTTTGAAGCCAAAACTTTCCTGGGGACCACAGAAGAATCTTGGATTCACCACATCCAGGACCTGCGGTCTCCAAGCCGAATGGCATTGGGTGTGCTGCCAATTACATTTTGAGGCTGACTTTTGAAAATGTTTACTCTCAGTTCTTCCCTTCCAAGAGGGAAATCAATCTGAAATGTTAAGCCAGATCCTCTAGTTCCCGAGAGTCCCCCTTATTATTGCGAATTTTTAAATATTGCGAGAGGGCACCCCTCAGGGGAACCAAAATTCAAGCTGCCAGACACAGTTGCCTTCCCAGGAATCTTACCAGTGCATCCCAAGCCATTTTCAATTGCTTTTATTCTGAGTAATGACACATGTAGCTGGGACAAATGCCACCCAGGACATTGCTAGGACCCCTGGCAACTGGCAATTCATCTGGAGTCAGCAGGGCTGACAAGGGTTGGACAGAAGGGTGGGAATGGGTCTCCTGGGAGCCTGGAAGGAGCCCTACATCGGCACGCTTATCACCGTCTCATCCCCCCATCCTCCGCCCCAGATGACCCCTTGGACCACTATGTACACAGACTTGAAAACAATGTCACCCTGCAACATGGTACTGCTAAACCTTCAGTCCTCCCCTTCCCCGACTCCTGGAATCAAATCTTAAAGGACTTGCCAGAGCTTGGCTGCTTCTGTCTTCATTCTGGCCACAGCCTGTAGGAAGAACCAGGCCCCTTGACTATCTCAAAACCAGTTTCCCCTATTCTGCTGCTTTGTTCTTTACTTCCTCCTCCTCTGTGATCTGGAGAAAGAGCTCCAGACAACGCACAGCCATAGCAGCAAGGCCCAAGCACACAGGCCTTGGCGTTGGGAACCTTGCTGGGCACCTCTGGCTCACCGGCCCGCTTTGCAAACAGGAGGGAAGTGTGCCGCAGCTGGAGGCCAAGCTGCTGTGAGCAGCTGTGCACAGGCTGCAGCTCCTTGGCACACCCCCAGCAAGGCACAGCATCACCATGTTGTTTTACACAGAGTCTGCGTGGCCGAGTGGGAGGGTAAGGATCACAAAGGACACTTGAAAGCATCATTCCAGAATGTTCCCTCTGCCCCATACAATCCTCTCACCCGCTGCAGACCACCCTAGAGGCTGAGGCTCACGGAGACTGCATACTGATGAATGCCACGAGGACAGGGCATTAAAAGCAGAGCCTGCCACAGGACGCAAAGTCTGCGTTCTTACCCTCCATCTCACAAGTCCACTCCTGGGCTCAGGAAGGAAGCTGCTTTAGCGTCAAGTCAAGGCTCCCAGGGAGCACAAGCATCCGTACATCGCAACTACCACTGGGCTGTTTGCAGACCACGCCTCTCTCCCTGCGAGTCCCACAGCTCACATGGCCCTCACTGAAGACTAACAGCAGACTCAACACAAACATCACGCCTGCATTTTACTTTAGCCTTTGTGTTTACAAAGCAGAGTTGCTACCACTCACCCAGGGGGAAGAAAGGCGCAGTATCTGGGGGAATTGAGTGCACGTGTGTTCCCTGACGTTGCCAGGGCAACCCTGCGGTGGTACACACAGTCCTCCAGGCAGGGCAGGCTGCTCGCCAGATCCGTGCTGGAGGCACAACAGTGGCAGCACGGCCAAGCTGAGCATCATTAGTCAGGAAGCCCAATCGGGAGCTGGGAAGGGCTTGGGAGGAAGGGACCCCTCCTGTGGCTTACTGACCCCTCTCTGGCTCAGGGTGGGAGACATAAATTTCATTGGCTTCCCATCGACTGAGTCTGACTTTTCAAAAATGTGTACAGGCTGCATCTTGACTATTATTCCAAGTTCACTGGCAAATGACTTGAGGGTTATGCTTTTGAATGAAGTTTCTAAGCACAGACGGGACTTCAAGAGTAGGCTTGTTCCCATAGTGGTCTTCTTTGCACCTACTATGGCCAGGGCTTGACTCTGCTTTGCAGAAAAGCAGCACCTGCCACCATGATCACCCTCCTTAGGTTCCTTCACTGATGCCAGAATCTGGGTGGGTGCGAAGGGTACCCTAGGGTAGAGACAAAGCAGCAGTCCCACTCCCTGCCTGTCTCTGCGACTGCCTCACTTCCCTGCTCTGAGAGCTGGGCCCTGCTGCAATATGAGGAGGCAGATGTCACAGGAGGCCCCTGGCCACCCCCTGTTCCTGGCATCCTCACACAGTGCAGGCAGATGCTGTGTGCTCAGGAAAGGCTGTGAGTGCCTGCAGTCCAACCATGCTGGGTGTGCCCCCTCTCTGCTTTCTCCTGTGTGAAAGGCAGTCCATGTGTGAAGTCCCAGGAGGACCAAGGCTAGAGGACAAAGCCTGGATGAGTGCAAGACATCCAAGATGAGCAGTTTGACAGCCTCCAGGGCAAGCGAGGCTCTGGCTAATGGTGACTCAGTGAGAATCCAGGGAGGTAGGAAGAATGGATGTTCCCCCAACAACAAGTGTGATGGGGATGGCAGTGTGCTTGGCATCCAGGCCACATACAGGTACCTTGGCACATGTGGCTGGAGGCAGAGGTCACCCCTACCCCAGAAACACAGGAAGCATCAGGAAAAGAATGAGGCTCCCAGACGACCCTCACTCGTCTTGCAACTGGAGCAGAAACTTCCTCCCTGAACTTCTGGGTTCTCTCTCCATGACAGGACAAGGCTACAGAGCAAACAGAGCATCCCTTTCATAGCCCCCAGCAGACCAGCATCCAGAGGTGTGCACAGGGCATGGGCACACTCTATCAACACACAAACACTGCATCCTTGTCCATATGAGAAGCCAGTAAGAGGACAGATGAACCTGCTCTTCACTCTGTGCACATACAGGGCTTCGTAGGGCAGCTCGCGGCTCCCCTCAATACTCAGGGGCCTTGGCTGTTATTGTTTGAAGAACAAACCTACCCAACACTTTCCAGAGAAGCCAGACCCTCCCTGGTTCAGTCTCTGGTTCATCTTCAGACACAGTTAAGACTCCCAGGCAGGTTCAATGGCAGTGATGTGGACAAACCCAAGAGCACTGGTCTGTTCCCTCCGCATCTGCTTTGCAAAGAACCCAGAACCAGCAAGACAAATAGATGAACAGCCAACCCCACCACCCTCTACAGAAACATTCTCAATGCACCTGCCCGAATCTTGTACCTCCTACTTCACAGGTAAAGAAACCAGGGCCAGATGCAAATGCCTGAGGAAAGCTACGCCCCTAATAAATGGTTGACTCCACTCCCCAGCCTGCCTTTCTCTCCACTGTTTGACACATCATGACATTTTCCATTCGGTAGGCACTGTCTAGCTTAGTCTAAGTGCATCTCAGAAAATGAGCTCAAGCTCATCCCCCAGTGATGAACTCCCGTGGGGAGTCCGGACCCAGTTCTCACCTGCAAGTTCGCACATGGTGGTAACACATGAGTGGGGATTTCGTTCTCAGACCCCGCTGGCCCCAGGGACTTGCTCTTGACCCGGAAGGCAGTGGTGGTGGTGGCAGTGGTGGTCTGTGCTGGGACGGCTGGCTGCCACACGGTCACATCAGAGCCATTGCCAAAGGCCTGAATTGCATTTTCTGCAGTGAAACAGGAGGAAAGCCGATTACAAAGACCGGCGGTGAGTGTACTAAACAGGGAATCTGTACTGAGAGTCACACTACAAATCCCACTGACAGCACTGGATTTCTCTGAGCCAGACCCAGCCATCCATCCACCTTACACACGCAGAGAGCCAGTGTTAACGGTCAGGTGCTCAAAAATCAATTCAATCATTAAACACAGAGCCAGACACTTAGCTTCACTCCAGACACAACAAACAGTCACCGTGTTCCTATGCTTATGCCTGCTGCTGACCCAGAGCCTTACCCGGAAACGCTCAGTGCCCAAGCCCTTGGAACACCCAGCCTCCCATGGGCAGCTGACTGGGATCGACTTGCTTCCTAAGACAAATCCTTGTGCTCTGTCAAAACTCTCTATCGAAAGCAAATGAACTCATGCTTTAAGAAAAAAAAAAAAAAGAGTATATCCCTAATCCAAGGACCAAGGCAACTCTGTGGCATCCACACTAATTTGACAGGCAAAACAGTTTCTTATAGAGAAAAACCCCACCCCAACCTTATCAGTCTAGGGAAAATTTTTTTCACTAGTGAGATATTTTTTTTGTCTTTGCTCTCAGCCTTCCAAATAGAATCAGCATAATTAGATAGCAGCAGCCCTCTTTCACTGAAAAGTCCAAAATGTAAAACTTTCAAAGCTTATTACCATTTCATAGGATTAGACTGTTTTTATGGCAAGAGTAAATTGGTTGTGTATTGTTCCCCTCCCCCAAATGAATAAAAAACAGTTTTTAATCAAGTCCTTGGGGGGTTGGCCTGGATTTAGGGATTTTTTTTTTTCATATTCATTGTATGAGAAATCAAACTCCTCTCTCTGGGACCTGAAAATACAAACTACTCGGAGCCGAGCCTCTGTTGGCCTTTTCAATACACAAAGCAGAAGAACTGATGCCTAACCTGCCTTGTGGAAATGACATTGTGCTCTGAGATTGTAACACTTCGAGGTTTGCAAACCAGAAGGTTGCTTTCGACAGTTTTACATCTTGGGGAGTGAGGACTGTTAGGGGCAAATCCCAGACTCTTAAATACAAGTCATGCCCCTAGCGATGTCACAGGATTGAGTGGGTCAAGCAGAAAGGACAGAGGGGCCGGTGTCCTTAAGGGACCCCAGAACCCTACGGAAATCTCTCCTTTTTCTTGTAAAGATGTACATTCAAGAGACCTCTACCATGGTCAACAAAAGCGCTAGCTGTGATGCCAGAGTTCCACATCGGAGTGCTGGCTGGAGTTCCCGTGACTCTGCTTCACATCCAGCTTCCTGCCAATACAACAGGAAGGCAGAGGAAGGCAGCCCAAGGCCTAGGAATCCTGCCACCCATGTGGATGGAGAGCTGTGGATGGAGTTCCTGATTCCTGACTTCATCCTGGCCCAGCCCCAGGCAACTTGTAGCTCTATTACTCTCAAAGAAAACTTGACTTTTAATCCTACTTTTTAACAGAATTTTTGAAGCACTTCGTTTCTTTTATAAACTCAGGTAAGAGGACCAAGCTCAATTCCTTAGTGTGCCCAATGTTTTTGCAAGTGCCTGCATACTTGAGATTAGTTTTATGACTTTGAATTTCACTTAAAAATCCAGAAGCCTGTTAATTTCTACTACATTACTGGAAGCACCTGCCGAGCAAATATAGACTTAATTCTTTTTTTTTCAACAAAAGAAATGACAAATGAGGTCCTAGGGTAGCACTGAAAAGCTTTGTGGATATACATGAAAGTTGTTAATTCTTTCAATATCAATCAACACACTGCTAAGCAGTTCGGAGAATCTGTCAGGGCTGGGTTCTCAGAATGCTGGCCAGACCTGGTCTCTGATGTTCTGGTCCAATAGGCCCTTTAATTCCAGCACAGTTTCCAGCTCAGGTGGCCTATTTGAGTTGTGGCATTTCCATTGCTGTGAGGCTGCAGTAGTAATACCCATGTCTTGGGGAGACACAGTGGCACAGTGGGTTTTGCTGCCCTGCGTCTCCTATTACAGTGCCTAGTGCAAGTCCTGGCTACCCCGCTTCTCACGCAGCTTCCTGCCAGTGTGCCTGGGAAGGCAGTAAGAGCAAGTACTTTGGTCCCATGTGACAGACCAGTTGGAGTTTGTCTTTTGTCTTCAACTTGGTCCAGCCCTCGCTATAGCAGGCATTTGGGAAATAAACTGTCAGATAAAAGATCTCATCCTCTGTCACTTTGCCTTTTAAATAAATAGGTAAATCTTTGAACAGACAGTACTAATACTATAATATTCCTCCTAGGATCCTGGGGAAGAACCCTGGAAATTAGAAAATGTGTATCTCATACTCTGTATACCGGGGTGGGAAACATCTGGCCTGCAAGCTATATAAAATAAATAAAATCATTTGGTCTGGGCCCGCCAAGGCAACCACAGCTGAGACTCAAAATCCAATAAATCTATAGCAGGCCAAATTTTAATTTGGCAATTTTGTATGGCCCACAAGTGGTGTTATAAATATCTAATTCCTCTGGTAAGAAAAAATGTTTCCCTCTCCTATAGAACCAATGTGAACAGATAGATGGCACCCATGAAGAGGGTGGGGCACAGAAGTGTGCACAAAATTCTTGAATTTCTCAGCTGCAGTGCCACGTCCAGCAAGCCCAAGTGCATGCCCGGAAGAGAGACACAGCGTGGCACCTCTGGAGCTGGACAGCATATTGTTCATGGGGTACATCTCTCTCCAACCCCACTCCACTGGGAAGCCTGCTTCCAGACTGCCACAGGACAGTGCAATAATAAGTCATTCTGTTCCCAAACAGGGTGCCGCCCCGCCCATCCCCCAACCCACCCCAATGCTGCTTTTGTTTCCTGCCAATACTAGCTCCTGAGCCTCCAGCTGCCAGGCCAGTGCCTCCACGCCCACCCTAAACACCCACAGGGCTACTGGCATTCATATTCTCATTTTTCTCAGAAACCTGGAAGGCCAAGTCCCCTTCTGATTTGTCTGAGCTTCTCACATGGTCTGGCCCACCGCGCTTCAGAGAGCCTCTGCAATAGCCTCTCCTCCAGCTGCCAAGACCAAAACGCAAGCCACAGGAGGAAAGCGACTCTCCCACATGATGTATCCTGGGTGATGTGCAGCCCTCGCTCCTGGAGCCTCCGCCTCCACAGCCTGGGCAGCACCGCTGGGCTCCCTGCTGCATCCTGCAGTGTGGCCAAGGGCAGGAGAGTGGGGACACAGAATGTAAGGACAGAGGCGGCAGCAGCAGCCAGAAAGCTGAGGAGGTGTATACCACTGGAGTTGGCAAAGAAAGTGTGTGTGTGTGTGTGTGTGTGTGTGTGTGTGTGTGTGTGTGCATGCGTGTGCATGCCTGCCTTATTTTTCTGAAACTCACTGAGACACGTATTATCCTTGAAGAAGTTCAAGAATTTCCCACATTCCTCCAGGCCATTGCCGCTGTTGCTGCAGTCGCACCACGGGGCCACGCTGAGGCTGCTGGAGTCGATGTAGTTGGGGGTCATGACCGTACCTACAAGGCAAACACAAGGTGCTTTATCCCTGCGTGGTGACAGGGCCACTTCCATAGCCTGAAAAGAAACAAATGTCCCTCCGATGGCGTGAAGTGCCGTGGAGAATGTCAAACACCGCATTTGCCGAGTGGGAAGTTATGTAAAGCGGCACATTTCCTTGGCAATTTATCTTGAGCACACAAACTAATTTACGTGTTTACTTTAAAAATCATTAGCAGAACTCTTTGAGCTGCACTCGGGGTATTTTCCCCTGCACACATGGTACGGATGTCATGCAATTAGGAGAGGATTAAGCTAGACTGCATCAGTTCTCCAGTATCCAGCATGTTCTGGAAAATGGCATTCATCTTCTGCCATAGGTAGAAACGGGCCCACACATCTTCGGCATTTTTGTATGGGCTTTGAATCCACTTCCCTGGGAAGCAAATGGCTTCCTAAGTGTTTTTGCTGGGCTCAGTCACTTCCTCTGTGTCGCCCCACATCCTGAACCCCAAGAATGGACAGCAGGAGGTCCCTGCTCACCACACCCCCGGCTGATTTCAATCAACTGTTTCCAGTTGCCAAACAAATGGAAGCAAACAGCGGAAATTCAGTATGTTCCTGGCTCTTAAAGTTCTATCTGTGGACCCCAAGAGTCCTCCCAGATGCACTGGGTGGTCCTTCCCTTCCTCCCTTAGTGCTACTCATGTTTTTTCTGATGTATCCCACGCCGGCACAGAAACACAATGTGTTTAGGCTTAAAGCGACCCAAATGGCTTCTCCTGGGTGGTATACATCAGATAATACCTTCTGATGCCAAGAAACCTTTGCCTTTGAGGTCTGGGGAACAAGTGGCCATGGTCAGCAATCCATAGAATGTACTTGCTTTGCAAATAGAAAAATGACTTTTGTTAACTCCCACGGGCCATGGGCATACTGTCCTTACCCTGCATTTCTTACTGAGTTAAACTGCATGATAGTTCATGACATGCTGGGATGTGAATCTGGGGGTGGGGCTGGGGGCTCCTCCTCACGTTGGCTGAGAAACAGGCACCCCAAATCCTGAGAGGAGGGCCAGCCTCCTGCAAGCCCAGCACCATAATAGATCCAGAAGAGGACGGAAGGAAGGCAAGAGCAAGCTTTGCAGAGGTCAGGACCCAGGATCCAGTCTCAAGAAATAAATTTCAATGTGCATGACACTGCCAGTCATTTCCTGTTTCCCTGGCATGGGGGGCTTGCCAAGTCCACCACACCTGTGTCCCTCACAGGAGGTTAATGAGAGATACTGTTGGAAGGACATGGACCCAAGTGTGCACTGTGAGTCCAACAGCAAGACAAGGGGATGCCGCTACTTAGCCTCTCCCTCTGTGGCCTGCTCTGTTCATTTTTCCTTTGTTGCCAGTGAATATGCCTTAATGATTCTGGGTATTGCTGCACTTCCATAGCTGATAAGTAATCCCTCCTAGGAACTGCTGTGGTTGAGAAGAAGAGAGACTGAAACACAGACTCATAGGACTGACTTGACAGGGTGCACTCGCTGGCCATGTGGCTGAAAATGGGCGCAATGAGGAGCCCAGGTGAGCCAGGAACCAGCACTACCTCTGCACCATGCATCGGCTCTAGTTTTCCCAGTCAGGCTGGTGAGAAGAAATTTAGTCCATGCTGTCATTCTCTGTAGGAGCTTCCTCCTGCTGGTGTTAGGGGGTGACCATGGTGCAGACACCTGGCAGGAAGGCACACTCTGGTGGAGCCTTTGGCTTCTGACATCTGTGGACACTGTGCTCTCTCTCAGACAATGATGACAAGGCCCTTCTGCCGTCCCCAAGCACCTGGGACCCCACAATTCCTCCTGCTGGCCACTCTACCATGAGATCAAAGGAGCCTGGCCCCAGCCCTCTTCTGCCTCAACTGTTTAACTGTGGTATTCCCAAATGCCAGGAACATGGCTCCTTCTAAGGACACAGGCTTTGAAAGATAGCAGACACTGTTTCTGCTACAGCTATTCTTGGGGGGGGGGGGGAACACTTGGCCCGACTCTCAACCAACTTCTCCAGAATATCAACAGCGAAACAAAGGCCCTGGCATTTCGGAGTTTTATTTCCAAAGGGCCATTTCTGGGAAGCACTCATTTTGATTTGCCCAGACTGAATTCTTCCAACTTGCCTATCCTCAAAGTTCCCTAATTCAGTTAGCATTGTGCGACTTCTCTTTTGTCAAAACAAGGCTTTCTCCCCGTTTTGCTCTGCATGGTCAGTTCCCCAACTGGGATGCTTCACTTAACTAAGAACCTGCTGTCTTCCTGCTCCTTAATCATCCCTGCTTCCTGCCTCGGATTTTTGCACATCCATTATCTTCCCACATCTCTCCCTCCCCTTCTCCTTTTTCTACAGGCACGTCCTTAAGGGCCGGACACCAAGGGCTGGCACAAGGATGAGTGGGAGACTTCCACCACAGAGACATTGTTGACGGGCTCTCATGGAGAGTGTGTGGGCCTCTGGAAAGCAGACCCTGCCCCCTGCCACTCCCCACCTTACCAATCAGCCCCGAATAGGCGAGGAGGCAGTCAGCGTAGTTCTCCTTCAGACAGCTGCTGGCTGACCTGGACTCCGGCTGGCAGTTAGTAAAGAAATCGGCAAGGCGAGATCTAAAATGGGAAGGAGGAGAGGAGCAATGCTTTAGAACTCTGCAAGCCTTGCAGCTGGGGCGGGGTGGTGCAGAGAGAGGCTGGTTAGCAGGTACAGGGGTCAGCTGGAGGAGCGGGAATAATACCTCACGTTTTAGAGCACAGCCGGGTAACTGTGGTTGACAACAATTGATTTCAAAACAGCGAATGCAGGATGTTCAGTGTTCCCAACAACCAGAAATGATAAACACTTGAGATAACATTTGCCGATTAATCTGGTCATCATTACACACCGCCCACAGATGTGTGCCAGAAACACATGTCAATTAAAAATATTAAAAAATATATTAAGAGGAAAAAATCCTAAGTCTCTGAACAGTTGGTAACTTTTCTTTGTTCTTTTGTTGTTGACTTTTACACACACTTACACACACAAACACACACACACACACACAGAAAGCAACCACTGGCATCCTGTCTTACACAACCTCTGAGTGTCCCCTCCCCCAGCCCTCATCCACCTGTGCCTCTGCTTATTTGGAGAGAAGTCTTCAGGGCCTAGAACTGGAGAAATCTAAAGGCTTTGAAGTTTCCATCCAATATTTATTTCTGACTAGGCTTATTTGCATCTTTAGGAAATATGCCTCTCCACACACTCATCAGAGAGCCACACTGCGAAAATATTTACTTTATACAGAAGCATGTCCCTGGCATCAAAATAGGATCCCGCAGCCCATCTGTTCCTATAATTCCTACTGGCTCAAAGAATCCTTGTATCTGTCTTGTAAGTCCTCTCTCATCCCAGCCAAGCAGCTCATTTTGGGGGAGCCACAAAGACAGGTAAGGGTGGCGTGCCGGGTGTGTATGGCCTGTGGTTGAAGAACACGCCTGGAGGAGGAGCTGCTGAGCAAAGTGCAGCATCTGTCTGGCCTCTGGGGACTCCAGGGGCTGGCACAGATCACCATGCAGGTCACAGTGAGGGTGAGGATGCAGAGACCAGAAGGGCACAGAAGCCCCATACTGGCTGGTCAGGGCAGGGGAGGGCTTCTCACTGGCCTACTGGCTGCTTTCCAGTCTGAAGGGGATATCGTTGGTGGGACATCCCTGAGGTCACATCCACAGACAACAGTTCTGCTTCTATGGCAGAACACAGTGCACTTGGGGATGAATTCAAATTCTCCAGCTATTAGGGGAGACAATGGGAGGCGGTCTCCATTTTCTTCCGAGTTCAGCTCACCCTCCAGTTGCCTGCCAGCATACCCAGTGATGCCTTCTTTACTTCTTTCTACTCAAGCAACTGCTATCTCCTTAGCACATTTTATGATGTAAACAAGATGGGGGTGGTACGGCCCAGCAGGTTGGGAGAAATGGGATGCCTGAGGTTGGTAAGAACTTGATGGAGGCACATTATGCATCCTTTTCTGGCCATTTGGAACTGGCAGCAGCATTCCAAGGCCTGAGGCAGCGAAGCAAGTCCTGGGCGCCCTGTGGAGGCTGGAGTGTGCTGCATGCAAGACTGCCTTTCTCCTCATACTCGGTCACTAGGCCATGTCCCAGCTCCGGATCTGAGCCACTATGCAGGATTCTACTTCATTTCTACGCCCAGCTCCTGCACTGCTTCTTAGCACAATCCTTTCTAAGGTGCCCCAGCACCTTAGAATGAATGCCCTGACCACAGCCTCCCAAGGACGACTCTACATGCATGTGTGTGCATGCGCCTCCGTGACTTCAACTCAATACAGGAGATACAACCTGGCTATTTCCTCTGATATGGTGAAAGGATTTATTTTTGGGAGGAAACCTCCAAAGATGGCTCAGGCTTACTCCACTGGCTCCGATGGTACCCAGACTGGAGTGACGGCTAATTTCCAAAGAATTGTCCTGGTCATGAAAGTTAACGATCTCATGGTATCAGCCCCTAACTGTGCAAGGGCCAATTGCAGCACAGGCAGCTGGGCTCCAGCTCTGCACACAAGCTGGCCACTGAACAGCCCTCTGGCCTGGCCTCCAGAGATACATCTCCTCTTCCTCCCAGGCTCTCAAGCACACCATTAGCTGAACGACACTGCAGCATGGATTACTGTCCTCTGGTGCGAGGTTAATCCCACCAGGCTCATTTTGCTTAACAACCTCAGAAGTGACTTGCAATTGGACTCTGAAATGAAAGGCTAATTGAGTCAGTCTGCTGCAGAAAGCATAACCCAAATTGGGTGGATAAAACCAAACATACTGCTGCAGGCAGAACCCTGGACAGGCTTCATTTTGAGAGCAGATTGTGGGCACAGACCCCAGGCCTGAGAAGAAGGCAGCCAGTGGACAGGAAGAACTTCACAACAAGAGTGAGCACCTGCTGTATTCTGTTGCTTCCCTCATTTCTCCCTGGACACAAGATGGTCACATTATGGGATTCCCATGTTATGGAAGGAAACACTGAACTTAAGAAACAGACAGTGGTGCATTAGCTGGGCTAGCTCATTCCTGCTCATTTCTCACGTTAAGGAATTCTGCAAGTTGGTAGACATCACAATGGCAGCCCGAGAGTGACTGTGGCGGGAGTGTTGACTCTGTGTTAACCAGCAAATTTTAACAAATCAGAGTTCAGGTTCTTGTTGTTGCAAAATTGATGGTTAAATATTCACCAGCACACACAGCTCAAGAGCCAGTAGATGGAGTCAGCCCTACTGATGAAGCCAGCTTCCCGTATTGGGCATCAGGGTCCAACACTTGCCCTCCTATTACCATCATCTTTGTGCCACATCCAATGTATAGCACCAACTCCCTCCGGTCCGCATTTTTCCAAAGAAGGAAAACAGTTTCTCAGATGACTCTTCCTTCCCATCATCTTCTGCCCCCTCCAGTTCCTGTTTCAGTCCTTAAGCAATATGTGCACGTGGTATGAACAGTGACAAACCAGCAATTCCAAAACTTCCATGACCGATAGATGAATAAAATCATGGAAAAAATCTTGTCCTTGAACTTAAATAACCCATAGCCTACATGCAGAGAGGGACAATGGTTTTTGTTTGCTTGTCTACTTTTAATAGATACTACAGTGGAGATCTCTTAACAAAGAGGTTACAAATAAGAAGTCCTAACATTGAATGGTGCTTCTCTAGATGTGAGGTAGGTTTCATAAACTTTAGATTTTCTTCCCGACAACCTTCATGAAGTGGGTACTATTATTTTATTATATTCACTTTTCAGATAAGTGAGGTGGAAGAAGGCTAAACCAGAGTGAGCTGCTCATGGTAGAGCCAGAACTCAGAACCACATACTCTGCCCCATAACTTGGGTGTCTGACACTAGACATACAGCTCAGAGACATGACTTTCAGTAGGGCCTGAGCCTGGAAGGGTGGACAGAGTTGATCAGGTAAAAGCACAGGAGGGTAGTTCAGGCAGAATGACATAGCAGACGACAGCCATGTCTACCACAGAAGTCCAGGGCAGCAGCTACGCGGTGTTTGTAGAGGCCAAGCACTCACCGAAGTACCCGATGTGCATTGCACACTCACCACTCACTGCAATCTTATTGAATAAAACTAGCATTCCACTGAATTGATATGGAAGCTGAGGCACAGATAGGGTGACTCCCTCCAGGTGACCTGACTCCAGGGCTGAGAAGCATTCTCAGCGCACTGTGCCTCGTGCATGTACAGCCCATGACACTACCAATTCACCACTCCACATAGCTGGCCACAGGTGCAAGCATAGATTGTGGGAGCTGACACCAGTGACAAGCCTAGAATGATATAAGTGTTTGGGTTTTATCCTAGAAGTAGTGAGAGTAACTTAAGAATTTGAAAAAAAATGATTTATTCGGACAAGTGCAATGGCATAGAAACTTAAGACTGTTGCAAGGGCATCCCATATGGGTACCAGTTCTAGTCCTGACTGCTCCACTTTTGCTTCAGCTTCTTGCTAATGTGCCTAGGAAAGCAGCAGCAGATGACCCAAGTCCTTGAGCCCCTGTACCCACCCAGAAGCTCCAGGTTCATGACTTTGGACCATCACAGCTCCAGCCCTGATGACCACCTGGGAGGTATATCAGCAGACGGAAGTTCACTCTCCCCTCCATCTCCCCTCTCTCTGTAAATCTGCCTTTCAAATAGGATGTAAATAAATCTTGAACAAAATAATTTATTTGAAAGTCAGGGCTACGGAGAGAGAAGGGGAGACAGATGGAGAAATATCTTCCCTCTACTTTTCACTCCCCAATAGCTGCAATGGTTGGACCTGAAGGCAGGAGAATCGTCCAGGCCCCCCATGTGAGTGCGGGGGTCATGAACTTGGGTTATTTTCTACTGTTTTTACCAGGCCATTAGTAGGGAGCTGAACCGGAAGTGGAGCAGTTGGGGCTCAAACCAGCACTTAAATGTGATGTTGATATTAAAGGACCTGGCTTTGCCCATTGTGTCACAATGCCTACCTACCTGAAGAATTTAAAAATCAAATGCAACATAGTGAGATCTGCATATAAGAAGGCTCTTGGATTTCAATCATTCAAAAAAGATTTGGTGAACACCTTCCCTGTGCCCTCTCTGTTCTAGCTGCAATAGCAAGATCAGAGAACTGAAGACAGAAGGGACAACCGCCAGGAGACTGCAGCCATGACCCAGGCTGCTGAGGGCCAAGTGGGGAGAGAAGGAGAAAAGTACACATCAGGCATAGGCCAATGCCAGAACGGGAGTCAGGAGAATTCAGCAGACAGCAGTGCTATGGGGGGAAGACACCTGGAGAGAACCATATTTGCATAGAAGACAGTGAGGCTGGCTGAAGCTGTGCTGAGTGTGGGCCGCCCAGGAGAACCAGCAGCCTGGCAGGTTGGTGGAGCTCTGGCATCTTCCATCTCTGCAGTCCCCTGCCGTGGCCAGCAGAGACCATATGCACAGCGCCCGAGGACAGCCCCATGGACACACCTCCCCCTATCCATCCTGGGTAGTGAATCACACTGTAATTGATTTCAATGGCTTCCCTGCTTGGCCTGCTCTGATCCAACACCAGGAAGCTGAACCGTCCAGG